GACTGCAGCCTGCCAGCCTCCTCTGTCCATGAGGATTCTCCAGGCAAGAATACTGGAGTGGGTAGGCAATCCCTTCTCCAGGGGATCTTCCTGACCCAGGAATCGAACCAGGGTCTCTTGTATTACAGGTGGATTCTTTACCAGCTAAGCTACCAACTTGGTCCCAATTTTAAATACATTCCTATGGAAACATAAGTGCTTAGATGTGAAAGCTTCCCAGGTGGCGCTAGTGATAAAGAACCTGCCTGCCAATTCAGGAGACATGAGACACGTGTTCCACCCCTGGGCCAGGAAGATCCCCTGGAGGAGAACTTGGCAGCCCACTCCAGTATTCTTGCCTGGAGAATCCCATGGACAGAGGAGCTTGGCGGGCTACAGTTCATAGGGTTGCAAAGAATCAAACATGACTGAAGTGACTTAGATGACAATGATGTGAAATGGATAAAAATGTTAAAATACTAAGAGTAGTTATCTCTGAGTGATTTTTGTTTTAGTTTTCTTTCCCACCATTGTCTAATTTTAAATAATTAATATTAATAATTAATTTAATCATTAAAATTGATACCAGTAAAATAAAGAGAAAAGTAATTAAGTACAGTCACTGGAAACTATCCTACTCTGAAACCAATCCTCAAGCCTTTGGGAGAAATTCAGCTTTTGCCAAACTCACAGAATCATTAGCAGCTCAGTCCTCTCCCCCAAGCCATGTCCACTATGTAGGCTTTGGTGCAGTGCTGTGCAGGGGAAAGCATATTGGATTGTAAGTCATAGATTAACTTCCAAGGTGGTCATTACTAGGACTGCTCACCAGTGTGATTTACAGCAAGGAGGTCCTGAAACTCAACCCTCTGAAACACTATAAGTGAAGGAGAACTGAAAAACTAGCTGGATAGTGTTTGTCTTACAGGAGAAATTTTGTTATTTTAGTTAGTTTGGAATCACCTGTCATCATGGGCAGTTAACTTTCAAGAATATGTTTTCCTGCCTCTGCCTTTAAGCCTCTCTGACACCTTGACCCAAGGCTGCAAGAGGAGACTAAGAAGACAAATATGGCGGCTCCTACCCAAGAGCCCATCTTCACTTTCTTGACATCACCCTGATTTTGTTTGGAGTCCAGCTCTATGGAAAGAAATATGATTGCTCCATCTCCTTATGGCCATTCCATTTCTTCTTGGCAAATAACTCTTTTTCACAGCCTTCCTTGAAGCTGGAAGTGGACCCATATAAGGAGAAGTCTTTTCAGGGGAAAGACTTCTTTTCAGGAGATTTTCAGGGGAAAACATTTCTTCTAATATAAAAAGACAGGGGCTTATAAGGAAAGTCTTTTGAGTCTGTCTTTCTCAACCATGATGACTGAGTCATGGTAGCCATCTTAAGACCATAAGAGAAAGTTCAAGGGAATTCCATAGAGGGCTACCCAATGCTCTGACATGGTTTAGCTGCTAAACCAGCTCTGGAGAGTTTATCTACAAATTTCTTGAGATAGTAAAGTGTTTGATGGCTAGGGATTTTTACTTGCAGCTAATTGCTTCTCCTTTTTTTGTAGTATAATTACTTTACAATGTTGTATTAGTTTCTCTTGTACAACAAAGTGAGTCAGCCCTATGTACACATGTATCACCTCCCTCTTGGCCATCCCCCCCCCAATTCCTCCTATGTAGGTCATCACAGAGCACCGAGCTGAGCTCCCTGTGATATACCACTACTTCCCACTAGCGATCTATTTTACACACGGTAGTGTCTTTATGGGGCTTTCCGGGTGACTCAGTGGGCAAAGACTCTGTCTGCAATGCAGGCGACTCAGATTTCATCCCTGGGCCAAGAAGATACCCTGAAGGAAGGCATGGCAACCCACTCCAGTATTCTTGCCTGGAGAATCCCATGGACAGAGGAGTCCGGCAGGCTATGGTCCATGGGGTCGCAAAGAGTCAGACATGATGGAAGTAACTGAGCATGCACGCATTTTATTTATGTCATAAATACACGCAGTGTATTTATATCAAATTTAACCTTCCAATTCATCCCACCTTCCCCCCCCCCATGCCCCCCCTCCACAACTGGCCCATGTCCGCACATCCATTCTCTACATATGCATCTCTATTCCTATTCCAGAACTGGACCATTTTTCTTCTATACCATTTTTCAGGTTCCACACACATGCATTAATGTACAATATTTGTTTTTCTCTTTCTGACTTACTTCACTCTGTATGACAGGCTCTAAGTCCATCTACGTCTCTACAAATGACCCAATTTCATTCCTTTTCATGACTGAGTAATATTCCATTGTATATATGTACCACATCTTCATTATCCATTCATCTGTTGATGGACACTTGGATTGTTTCCATATCCTAGCTGTTGTAAACAGTACTGCAATAAACACTGGGATACATGTGACCTTTTGAATTATGTGTCTTAAATAGATATAATGAGACTTTAGAGGTGGCCTTGATTCGCTCATGATGTTGTTTCTGGATTCCCAAATATGGGATGTGGCTATTTGTGACAACTCTAACGAGGCTCTCTACACATGTCTGGGGCTTCCCCAGATGACTCAGTGGTAAAGAAGCCTCCTGCCACCGCAGGAAACATAAGGAATTCCAGTTTGATCCTTGGGTCAGGAAGACCCCCTGAAGAAGAAAATGGCAACCCACTCTATGCCTGCCTGGAAAATTCCATGGACAAAGGATCCTGATGGGCTGTAGTCAAACGGGTCACAAAAGATTAGACACAACTTAGTGACTAAAACAAAAACAAAAATGCTTTATGTTCTTGCAAACTAACGTAGAGGTGAACAAGTTCATGCCAACAGTTAGGCCAGCCCTGCCTCAGTTAAATCTTTCAAATTCAAGAAAGCTTCAGACCCCATTATTCCTCTTGTCTTGGTGTTTACTATCTTTAGTGAACTTGTCTGGTGTCCAATGTTTCAGTTCTATTCTCTGGATCTACTCTTTGGGAGAAATGCCATATTTAGAAACATCTACCCATATTGCTTACAAATATATATCTTTAATTCCTTGGTTTGTATGGTCAGAGCTAGCAGATTTGACAAACAAACTCCGTGGAAATGTATTCTTATTTAAAATATATCTCTTGGTATCTTGTCATGAGCTTCTTAATGAGAGTCTATCTTCACCCATAAGCGTCAGTCTAAAAGAATCTGAGGCCAGGCTCCGATGGTAAAAGGATCTTCCTGCAATGCAGGAGACCTGGGTTTGATCCCTGGGTCAGGAAGATCTTCTGGAAGAGGACGTGGCAACCCACTGCAGTATTCTTGTCTGGAGAATCCCATGGACAGAGGAGCCTAGCGGGCTAGAGTCTGTAGGGTCACTAAGAGTCGGACACGGCTGAGCAACTAACACTACTACTGCTTTTGAAACAAGAAAACTGTCTGATATCCAAAGGACTGCCGCTCTGTCCGCGTTTATATCCCGCTTGAATTACACCCATTGAGGTACAGTCAGACACACATACCGAAACACTCATACATAAGCTGAACTCAGTGCATAAACTTTTGCTTTTGCTTTTGCTTTTTTCGGCTCTGCCAGGGCTCGGCGCCGCACACGGGGCTGCACTCCAGGTGTGGTGCGTGGCCTTCTCAGCTGGCGGCTTCACTTGTGGAGCTCAGGCTCTCGGTGCAGAGGCTTCAGTACTTGAGGTTCGAGGCCTCCAGAGTGAGGGCTCAGGAGTCCCGGTGCATGGGCTTAGTTGCTCTGTGCCTTCTGGGATTTTTCTGGACCAGGGTTCAGCAGATTCTTAACCATTGGATCACCAGAGAAGCCTAAACAAGCAACTTTTAAAGCATTGACCCATCTAACGATTTTAGTACAACACTCAGTATTGACACTCATCCCTGTTAGCTGAAGGCTCAACTTCCCCACTTTCTGACAACACTTATGTATCCCATACTTAAACCTGTCAGGAGTGTGGGGAAAGATTATTGCCTTGAATATCAGGACTTTGAACCTAGATCTCTGGCCCTTAGTTTTTTGGGGTCTTTTGTGGGTGGTGTAAAAAGATGAATTGGCCCAGATGCTCTTAAAGGTTCCAGACAGCTTTCAAATTCTTCTGCAGAGGAATGTAGGCAAATGGAAAAAAAAATTTACCCTCCTTCTGTTAGAAGATGCCCTGTAGACCTGAAATATAATAATATTTGGAATGTCAAAATTTTATGAGAACTTACTATATGCCAGGCACTAGACTGTAAACAGCTTTTTGTGTATTATTTATTCCTTATGATAATGAAGCATTACCCATTTTGCCAATGAGACAGGTCTTAAGGGGCATCATGACTATGCCAGGATCACATAAATGAAAGGAGAGAACTTCTATTCCAAAACCCATTATCTTACCCATCACACCACATGTAAAACAACATACGCACTCAGTTGGGCTTCCCAGATGGCACTAGTGGTAAAGAACCTGCCTGCCAATGCAGGAGACATCAGAGACATGGGTTCAATCCCTGGGTCGGAAAGATCCCCTGGAGGAGGAAATGGCGACCCATTCCAGTGTTCTTGCCTGGAGATGGCATGCATGCATGAGCTTCATTGTAGAAAAGAACAAGACTCAAGGTTCTCCTTATTTCTGTCTAAAATTAAACATGCATTGCAGTAAATGTGTTTCATATTTTTTGGAGGCTGTGTTTTGGCTCCCATGGGGAAATAGAATTTTCTTGATAAAGGGTGGATAAGCAAAGAATGATCTGTTACATGTGATCATAGGAGTCATGTCCTGTGAGACTTTTTACAGCCTGTTACAATTCGGGTTTTCAAGAATTGCTGTCACTGAATTCCATAAACATCCTTTGTGTTCAGAATATGGTAGCACCTACTCTCAAGGTATTGTTAATACGCTAAGTAAAAACACACTTGCCTTCTGCAGGCTATGGTTTTGCTTTCAAATCTCTGTAATTAAGACATTCACATTTCAGGCACTGGGTATTATTGAGTTCAAAGAAACAAAGATGTATTTCATCTTTTTTTTTTTTCCCTACAGATGATTCATCAATTCCACTCCTCCCGCCTACAGATGTCTAAATTTCAGTTTTCTGAGAAGCTACAAAGCGTGAAGTGGCAACTCCACATTGAGTCAGAGGACACTGAGTGTTAAACTGTAATACCGCCAAGAGTTTGGTGTCAACCCTCTTAACCTGTTTTCCGGTGTAAGCGTCATTAACAATGCTCTTTGCCCTTGGGCACTAAAAGGAAAAGATGCCAGTAACCCTACACCAACTGTTCCACTTAAGTAACTACCTGATGCGCCCGTTATCTTTCCAGGCTATCCGGGGAAGCGGGTGGGAACATTTGCTCCTGTGTCCCTGGCAAGCTGGCTAATGCTTGTCAAAGCAACAGCTCTGTTCCCTGAGGCTCAATTTCCTGTCCCACATTTGAATCTGCACACTTGGGATAACCAGAGATACTCAGGATTGTTTACTGGACTATGAGACAGCACAAACATTAGCGTGTCCACTTCAAACCCATACACATACAAATCAGACAGGTAACAGGGAATATTTCACACTGAAACATCTTGGTTAAATTTCCAGGTGCATCTGTATTAATTTGAAATATCAGCCCTAGCAATAATAAGGTAATAAGTTTGGAAAGTCCATCTTCAACATATTGTTTATTTGTTCAAGTAAATCTATTCATTCACATTTTCTTTATTTGCTGAAGTAAATATACGAGGTGGTGTGCGGTGTGCTGTGATAAGTCTCTTCAGTCATGTCCGACTCTTTGTGACCCCATGGACTGTAGCCTGCCACGCTCCTCTGTCCATGGGATTCTCCCAGGCAAGAATACTGGAGTGAGTTATCATTTCCTACTCCAGGGGATCTTCCTGACCCAGGGATCGATCCCACACCTCTTACATTTCCTGCTTTGGCAGGCAGGTTCTTTACCATTAGTACCACGTGGGAAGTCCTATGAAGGGGTAGCTCAGTGGTAAAGAATCTGCTTGCCAATGCAGGAGATGAGGGTTCAGTCCCTGCATCAGGAAGATCTCCTGGAGGAGGAAATGGCAACCTATTCCAGTATTCTTGCTTGGGAAATCTCATGAACAGAGGAGCCTGGCAGGCTATACAGTCCATGGGTCGCAAAGAATCAGACACAACTGAGCAACTAAACAACAAACATATGACGTATTCCAAATATTCACTCAGGATTTTGTTAGAAGAGCTACAAGCACTTTTTTAATGTATCAAGATTGCCCCTGGCAATCTTCTTGAGTCTTGACCAGTAGAGGCAGCTAATTAGGTGGAATATTCCAGAGAAATGGAAGTCCCTGCAGAGTGAGATAATTCAAGCCATTCCTTATTTCATAATGAACATTGTAAAAAATGGTTTCTTCATTATGAGAGGAAGGGGCTGCTCTAAGGGAGTGGAGATTGGCAGAAAGTGCGCTCCTTGGGTTTTGCAAAAGGAACATTTTCAACAGTTATATACCCTCAATATCTTAAAAATATACTTCGGGAATCAAGCAGATCAGCTCTTCCAAGCCAATCATTTTTCAATCCAAGATCAAAAGTGACATTTTAAAAGAGGCACATAAAGAAAAAGAAGAAATTGCTGCAGATGAGCGATTCCAAGGTCTCATCAACTGTATATAAATGAGTTCTGTGTGTAAGCTCCTGCTCGTGTATAACTGGGACCTGAGCTCTCTGCCAGGAAATACCTGTGGCCACTGTTAAATGGGATGGCCCATCTCGTTGTCTCTGAACAGCCTAGGGTGGGGACCGTAAAACACACCTTTACTTGCTGGCTACAAGATGGATGTGGATGCCCAATCTCACTCCGAGCTGACTTCTTCCCAATATGTGATGTTCCCAGAACTTTTCACAGAACAGGCTGCTCTGAGCTTCTCCCCAGAACTGCATGTATTCTGCTGCAGACAGCAACTCTGTGTCCTGACATGCACGCCCTTCTGGAGACATGATGCAGTAGAGCAATCTCCTCCAAACAGCCAGGTATATCCCAACCAAATCATCAAAGTTTCAAGTTACTTCTCCACCTCGCTGAATAAAAAAGCAGATTCCAAGTCAATCCATAGATCTAGGGTAACCAATGTCTCATCCTAGGAAGTAGCACCACAATCTTCCTGTTTTCCATTTGAAATAAGTCTTTCTTTCTGTCCACCCCAAGCCACTTGCCTCATTAAATATAGAGACAGGACAGCCAGTTGCCCATTGGTCATCTTCTGCCACGACATCTTCTGCTTGGACAGTCTCAAGCTGAGAACACAGGTATAGTCATATCTGACCCTCAATGCCTACTGCGCAAGTCCTGGTTCTTTTGGTTAAATTTGAAATCTCTATCACCTTGCCTCAAACCATTTAATCCATCTGTATCACATGGTCAATCACATTAGACCCACCACCTCTAACTCTCTGCTTCTCTTAATATCCTAAACTTGTCATTCTTGTCTCTTCTCAAAGCCTTTGTTCATACTGTTCCTGATCCTTGAATTTTTTTTTTTTTTCTGATCCTTGAATTTAAATGACTCTGTGTTTGTAGTTATTGCTGATATTTTATAAAGTGCTGGCTATGTGCCCAGTCCTGTACTGGTCACTTTGCCTATGGTACATTATCTTACCTGTATAATGTCCAAGGAAATTATGGATATTTATTCCTATCGCATCAAGCAGGGAACTGAGGCTTGGAGATCGAAACAGATGCTGAGATGTCTCACCAAGAGCTGCCTCTCTTTTCAAGATCAAGGTAATTCATTCTCCTTGCTGCCGAGGGTGTTGACTACTCATCTTGGATAATTACAATATTGTGATGGGTTTTGCCATTCATCAGCATGAACAAGCATTAGATATATATATGTCCCTTCCCTCTTGAATCACCCCCTCTTCCCTCCCCATCCCATTTCTGTAAGTTCTCACAGAGTTTTTACCCCTTGCTGCAATTGGAAGGGAACTACTTTTCCTTCCTCCAGGGTAGCCCCCCATCTATGACTTCTTAGTGTAAGAGTATAAAGGCCTGGGCCCCTTGACTTAACTGGGGACATTTCTCTAGAACCATCCCCTGTCCAGAGCTCCGTGTGGGGTCAACTCAGGCCACTGGTGTCACCGTATCCTCTGCCCAGCCTACCTGCTGCCCGCCCCCCACCCCCCGGACAGTGCTCCTCAGAGCACTCCCTCTCATCATACCTCCCAGGCACAAGTCACAGTTTCAGGGCCAATTTCCTAGGGAATCCAACTCAACAAGGAAGACTGCTCTGTGCCCAAAATCAAGAGCAAGGAGGAAGATCTGAGATTTCAACATGACTCTGTTTCAAAGACTGTGTTCCTTTCTCTCTGCTGTTCCTGTTTCCATTGAAAGACCATCCGTCTTTCCCTTCTCAGAGAGGCAGAAACTCTTTTTTCAGTCTCTCTCTCTCCAAGCACTAAGATGCTTGCATTTCACCAGAGGAAAGTGGGGAAGGGTGGCCTCAGGGAGGATGAGTAATCACATAGATCCAGCACATAGATGTGTTTTGTCTATCCTCTGTTGTCCTTTAAAATGATGGGTCAGTAATTTTTGATTAGAAGATTTGACCCCAAAATACAGATTACCAGCTTCTTTTGAAAAACCTGAGTAGCCAGCTATACTGTGTGCTTCCTTGGTCACATGAGCACAGAGCCTGCAGCTGGGTAGTGGCATGGTGGCCCCTGTGGACACTGTAATTTGCTGTTATCTGCACCACCCCAAGCAATCCCTGACACAGGGTTTGGGGACAATGCCATCAATCGAGTTGCTAGTTTGTTTTTATTTTTTTAATGGAGAAAGAGGTCTCTCTGTGTGGCTAAACCAAAAAATAGGAAAATTAAAGCTAGGCCTAGAAGATTATATATTTAAAGGGAAAGAACAGGAAAAAGCTTTGGGGGAAAGGGAATGAGTGGGAAGCTCATCACCAACTCAATGGACATGAATCTGAGTAAACTCTGGGAGATAGTGAAAGACAGTGAAGCCTGGCATACTGCAGTCCATAGGGTCGCAAAGAGTCTGACATGACTTAGTGACTGGACAGCAACAACAATGATGTGTAGACAGGATGGGTGAGTTACAGTTATATGTCTTATGTTGGTCAATGCATGACCTTCCCAGCATCTATGGAAATTAAAGTTTGTCCATGGCTCTGCTGAATAGCAGCACTCTTCACAATAGCCAAGTCAACCAACCCAAATGGAAACAGCCCAAATGTCTAGTGACAGATGAAGGATAAAGAAGATATGGTACATATACACAATTGAATACTACTCAGCCTTAAAATAGAATGAATTAATGCCATTTGCAGCAACCTGGATGGACTTTATACTAAGCGAAATAAGTTAGAAAGAGAAAAACAAATACTATATAATATCACCTATATGTGAAATCTAAAATATGATACAAATGAGCATATGCATGAAACAGAAACAGAACTGTGGATGTAGAGCACAGGCTGGCTGCCGAGGAGGAGGGGGTGGAGGAAATTACGGAGTGGGAAGTTGGGGTTAGCAGATGTCAGCTATTATATATGGAATGGATAAACAGCAAGATCCTACTGGGTAGCACAGAGAGCTATATTCAGTATTATATGATAAACCATAAGGAAAAAGAATATTTTGAAAAAGAATATTTTAAAAAGAATGAATATACATGTATATTCACATGTGTATGTGCATGCATGTGTGCTCACTGCCTCAGTCGTCGTGTCTGACTCTTTGTTACCCCGTGGACTGGAGTCTGCCAGGCTCCTCTGTGCATGGGATTCTCCAGGCAGTTCTCCAGGCTACACTGGACTGTGTAGCCATTTCCTGCTCCAGGGGAATCTTCCCAACCTAGAGATCAAACCTGCATCTCCTGCACTGGCAGGCAGATTTTTTTACCACTGAGCCACCTAGGAAACCCGTATATATATGTATATTTACATTTATATATATTATATTTATATGTTTTTATATATATTTACATATATATTTACATATATATGAATAATTCAATCACTTTGCTGTACAGAAGACATTAACACAACATTGTAAATCAACTATACCTCAATTAAAAAAAAAGTTTGGTCTATGAACAAGATCAGGGAATCACACTATGAGTCAGGTGTTGCCCGTGGTCTAACAGAATCAGCCTCAGATCTGGAGGGCATGGAGAGGAGGCTGAGGGAAGAGGAGGGATC